AGAGAGAGAGAGAGAGAGAGAGAGAGAGAGAGAGAGAGAGAGAGAGACAAAAGGAGAAAGAGAGAAGTTCAAGTTGTATTGCACTTATGAGTCAGCAAGGACAAGAAAGCACTCAGTGCTGAAGATAAAGAGAAGGTAAAACAAATGAGTTGCCCGGAACATCAATAGTCTGTCAAGTAGAAGAAAGGAGGTTTTCAACAGACAGAAAAGTGTGTTAAAAGTTAAAAGAAAATCTTTACTTTTCAGAAAAAGGTTATTGCTTTCTGTAGAAATTACCATTTTCATCCAAACGTTCTATTTCGGAAGGGTTGACAGATGATCTATTGCCTGTCATTTGGAGAACACACTCTGAATTTATCACTTTTCTCAAGGGCAAAAACACCAACATCTGAATTAGAAATGGAAGCGTTCAACTCAAAGGCATCTTACAACAACACACACACACACACACACACACACAGCCTGTCCACCCCCTGTCATGGTCCGACAGCTGTGCAGGGCTGCAAGGTTCCGACAACGCTGATCAGTTGCAGAATCTGGCAGTATGTTGGGAACCGGCGTAAAACCACATACCAATCATACTACCCTCTGAAACTTCTCCACCAGTGTCTTTTTCAATGGAAAATCCCAAACCAATAAATGTCTCCAATTTGCAATGGTCAACAAAACCTCCGAAGAGCCCAACAGCTCTTTTTACCACAAAATACTGCATACAAGTGTGACTTCGGGTCCAGGTTTGACTTAAACATACATGCATGCATGTGTGAGAGAGTGCATATGTGTGTCTGTTTAAATGGACAAACATGCACCCCTGTGTTTCCCCCTAATGTCTGTTTACTGTGACTGGTCTGCACTTTGTCAGTATCTGCGTCACAGGCTGAGGGGCAGGTTTTATCTGATTGGCCCCTGGAGAGGATCTGAGAGCAGTGGAGGTGTCAGGGGGTCACAGGGTCAGCGTCTGCCTCAGGGGGAGGAGGGGGGTCAGGGTTTGCGTCACAGTCCATGAGCTCTCTTTTTAGGTTGGTCGGTGTGGAAAACGCTCGGGTCAGCTCCTCTCACTTTCCACAGAACTCTCTGACGTTTCCTATTCTGTCCTCTCTGTTTGTTCCATGTTGTTTTTCTATTTTTGGATTTAAGATCATTGATATATTTTCTCAACATGACCAAGAGTCTGTACAGTCATGCTAGCAGCTTTCTGTGGCAGTTCTTATCATAGGCACAGTTATAAGTTATAAGTTATATGGATGCATTGTTCGAGAAACAATTGTTTGACAATCCATCCAAAAGTTGTTATTTCAGTCCGAACCAAAGACCGACGTTGGCATCCTGGTATTTCATGAAGTGATGATTCAGACTGTTAAACTCATTCAGTCAAAAAGGGTCTCTCTACCAATAAAACTCTCTCTTGTTTTTAACGATGTTGTTAGAGGCAGCATTATTTTCTCTTTTGAAACCAGACATTGTTTACACACAGGAATTCCTTTTACTCTTAACAAATTAATTTTACTGGCTGACAACATGCAGATAATCAAGTGTCTCGTGGATAAATCCGATCTGGCCTGGAGTGGAGTGTCATGCAGGAGTGGAGTGTCATGCAGCAGGAAGTGTGATGAGCTCAGTGTTGTCAGGGGAATGTGGGGAGAGAGGGGGTGAGGTGGGAGAGAGGCTGAGGGGAGGTGGGAATGTTGGTGTGGGGGAGGGAGTTCTAGATGACCCCTCACACAATCAGGAGTCCCCGGAGACCCTCTCAGCTGTAGCAGCACACTTGTGTCTCTTCTTCCTCATGGCTGGACGTGGAGTGGGAGAGAAGGGGGGGATGCCAACTCTTTTTGGGTGTCAGGCAAAAACCCTCCCCCCCCCCCCCCGCACAAAGAAATCCCCTCTGTACACACGAACACACGAACACACGAACACACACATCTGACAGTGTGGAGGACTACAGCCTGTGCTATGGCATTAGGGAGGCTCAACTACAACTGTCGCCCTCTGTTCAAACAGTAACCCTCTAGGATTTTTCTTCCCCTTCCCTCCTCTGCTCTCCTCACCTGTCTGAGCCAGCCGCTGAATGAATGGCCTCCCTTTCTTTTCCAATCTCTCTGTGTTGCTAACAATAGAGCTTTGGGAATTACTCACTATAACCACCACATCGGATGTGCTCTGATCTTCTTTATCTGGCCCTCCACCCTGCTGTCTTTACCAATTACATGTGTAGCCTTTCCACAGGTCAAACAGTAGTTTGCTGAGCAGCCATGTCATGTTCCCAAGGTCTGTGTGTGTGTGTGTGTGTGTGTGTGTGTGTGTGTAAAGACATGTAATTATAGCTACCCTTTAATTATTTTAATTAATATTAAAATTGGACGAGGCCCACAGGAGGAACAAAACTCATCTAATATACTGCAGTAATTTTGAACGCCTTGCCTGTGGGCCTTATCGCCCTGGTAACCCAACTCTGAGCTGCTTCCCGTCTCTCAATTAAAA